CTCTCTCTCTCTCGCTCCGCTCTCTCTCTCTCTCTCGCTCCTCTTCTCTCTCTCTCTCTCGCTCCTCTTTCTCTCTCTCTCGCTTCCTCTTCTCTCTTTCTCTCTCGCGGGTTTTTTGTGAACGTTGTTGATCGCGCGTGTCGTGTCTAACCGATTACTTATGGATGTCTTTCTCAATCACGCTGTTGTCAATTACCGCTTTCATCTGCTAATACGGAACCTACGCGGACCTGCGTGCGGCGAGCCACTTACTGGCCGATCGGCGCACGCACGCCGCCTGCGTCTGTGTTTGACTGATGGCCTCTAGCACTCGGCCCGACGTAAAACGCACCTTGGGTGTTTCATCAGCAAACTTCGCTAGTCGTTGTCGAGCTTCGGTATAAATGCTGTGAGACCAGCAGCTTCCACTTTCTCGCCGCGTGAACTGCTGCAGTGTTCTGTCTGAACTACTCCATTCGCTCGCCGTGGTCCTCCGCAATATAACGCTCGCTCTTTTTTCGCTGCCTCTCTCTCTCTCTCCCTCTCTCGGTCTCGCTCACACTCTCTCTCTCTCCCTCTCTCTCTCCCTCTCTCTCGCTAACAGAAGTGCTGCAGTGACGACAAACAACGTTGGGAGCACGCGCGCGCGACACAAGCCTCTACCGCGCAGATCGTCCGCACCAACTTACACACACACATATATATATATTTATATTTATTTACCTTCTGGCAACGGCATGTTTTATATGCGAATACTGAATGTGGCAGTTGTCACGCTGTTTCTCTTGACCTTACCGTGTTCACACCAGAGGTCGTTGCTATGGCCGGGCGATCGTCTGCCGATGGACCCTGGAAACGCTTATCGCTTCGTGGAGGACGGCGACACAGAGCAGGTATGTTCATGCACGTGTTATTCATCTCGATTCACCACATCGTCTGATGCAGTTTGTAGAGAAGCATTCGCTTTATTCCACCCGCTGCGCGTCAGACAAAGCTAGTCTAAAAGTGCTATAAGTGAGTGGTGTATCAACTAGGAAGTCATTATATAGCGCCTGCCCTTGCGATCTGCAATGAAACGTTTGAGATGCACAACTCTCTAACACTAATAAGGATTTACTAGTCGATGTCGTAAACGTTGTGCTAGTGTAAGTGGCAGTAGTTGTACTAGTGTAAGTGGCAGTAGTTGTACTAGTGTAAGTGGCAGTAGTTGTACTAGTGTAAGTGGCAGTAGTTGTACTAGTATAAGTGGCAGTAGTTGTACTAGTGTAAGTGGCAGTAGTTG